ATGAATCACTCTGGGATTTCATTTCAAGCCTCAAAAACTAAAAATGCAAGTACATTTCCCAATGTGAAACACAGCCAGCAATCTTCCATTTAACTTCCTCAAATTGTCATGTTACTCAAAACTCTCAGCCTCTTCGCTGAGCATAGATGGATTTCCTTGTTAGCCCACGTTGTTATCTGCCCCATAGAGATGCCCAGGTCTTTTTCACTACCTGTATGTCCTCCTTGAAGGAAAGCTTGTGATGAAGCCAAAGCTATCTACTTCAGAGCATGTGTTTTGTTGGGCTGGTATGTAGAGTGCTCTCTCTTATTCACAAAGGCCTGGTTTGGTTCTCTAGCACCTCATAAACTGGGTCTAACATCACATACTTATAGTGCTAGACTTGGAAGGTGGAAGCAGGGAGATTAGATGTCCAAGGCCATCCTCAGCACCATAGCAAGTTATAGGCAGTTTGAGTTACATGATACCCTGACTAAAACAAACAAACAAACAAACAAACAAACAAAAACAAACTAACGACTACAAACCCTATGTGCTTTGGAATTAGATGACCTGAGTTAAAACTCACCAACTTGGCTTACAAGGAGAGGGCTTCTGAACCTTCCTAGAATAGAGTTCTATGCCTTTAGAAAGGAGAAACAGTAGTAGTAACATTATAGAGTCAGCATATAGTCTGGAACACAGCGAGTTCTCTGTAAAAAATTCACTTCTTTTTCACGCTGTAGCAGTGTAACAGCTGAGCACAGGATTTTAAGGGCACACCATCTCGTTAAAATCTCAGTGCTAGCAGTTATTAGTTAAGCGACACTGGACAAGTTAACTAGTTGGTTACTAATTCATTATGTCTTCATCTATGAAACAGAAGTAGTAATAATACTACTTAATAGGTCAACTTAAGTATCAAGTGAATTTATATCTGAAAAGTGGTTAGAACCAATGGGTACATCAAGCTTGGACTTAATATTTGGTAAGAATATTATGAAGGGATGGGGATGTAGGATTCCCCTCAGGGTACAGTGATGGATCAAAACCTTGATCTTGGGTAGAAGTGAACTGATGGTACTCTCTCAGCTTCCTGACCTGTTTAATATTGGCTGATTCAAGAGAAACTGGCTAGAGAAAGTAAAGAGGGAGCTGGACCAATCAGCCACCAGATGTGCTCACAACTGTAGGGCACTGGGGGAGAGTATGAGATAGGTCTATGGGACTGTGAGATGGTTCAGTGGGTACAGGTGCTTGCTGCCAAGCCTGATGGCCAGTTTGATCCCTAGGACCTACTGATAGAAAGAGAAACTAACTCTTCAGATTGTCATCTGACCTACACACCCATGCCATGGGTCTAGCCAGGGGAACTGTGGGAATTTATAACCAAGTGCCCCAGTGAAGTTTGACAAGTTTGGTCACTGAGTGTTAAGCTATAAATTATCTTAGGCAATATGGTAGCCCTTACGTTAGAGAAACATAGACTCAGGACTTCCTAAAATTTTCATAGACCCTCATCTGGATTATAGTTCTTAAAAATCTTAGATTTCTTCTGTTTTGTTAAATTATGAAGATTCAACAACTTGTGGATGAACTTTCGAGAGGATTATTGATTTTAGTAGGAGAAAGATGTTAGTGGATGCTTTAAGAATTCTAGCCTTCCTTCAGTCTAGAGCTACTCAAGTTTGTCTTACATGGGCCTGATTTAAAAAAACAAAAACAAAAGCATGATTTTAAAATCATACACAGTTTGGGACTGGCAGGTTGGCTCAGATAGTAAGGTACTTGCTACCAAGTTTCATGACCTGAGTTCCTGGAACCTGTGTTGTAGAAGGAGACAACCGGTTTCTGCAGGTATGTGCCATGGCATGCATCTTCCCTCACCACATAATTGAATATACATTTTTTTTAAAAAGCCTTTATTTTACATGTATAAATGTTTTACCTGCATGTATACATATACATCACCTGTGTGTGTAGTGCCTATGGAGGTCAGAAGATGGCCTTAGATCTGCAACTGGAGTTGCCTACAGTTATAAAACACTGTGTGGATGTTGGAACTGAACCCAGGTACTCTGTAAGAGTGAGAAGCCATCACTCCAGCCTGTATAATTTTTTAAAGCATATATAGCTACTTAAGTAACCATTTATGTTTCTCTTAAGATTTATTAACTAAAGAAAAAGTGAGTAACATCTTTTTTAGTTTGGGAGGCTTTGACTATTTATAGGTATTTTTTGTTTTGTTTTGTTTTGTTTTGTTTTGTTTTGTTAGTGTTTGTGTTTGTTTTTTTCCCCCTGTGGCTAGATAAACATGTGACTAACAGAAAATATACACTTGAGAGGTGCAAACGCAATGTTTGATTACATTAAAAGCCTCTGTGGATCATGTGAAGGAAGCAGCTTATTACACTGAGAAGAGTTGGTTAAGCTTTGGAGCTCACCAATAGAGTACAGACATGGCCTTAGGGACTCTGTCAGGATAGGCAACAGGGGTTCCGATGACTGCAGTCTAAAGAGTCAGGATTTAGCATCTTCCTATAGTTCTGTGTGACCTCTGTCCTCCTTTTGATAACATGTGACCTATTCCACTGATGATAGCAACAACCCTTTAATCATGGAGAAACATGTAAATATAATAATGGTTTCAATTTATTTAAGGTAGAGAGTATTTTCGTTTTCAAATGACTTCTGCATAATCAAATACATTTCAGTTGATTAGATATCTTTCTTCATTCTTTCCCTCCTTTCTTTCCTCTTCCTTTTTCCCTTCCTCCCCCTTCCTTCCTTTCTTCCTACTTTCCTTCCCTCCATCCATCCTTCTTTCCTCTCTTTCCTTCCTCTCCTTCCTCTCCTTCCTTCCTTCCTTCCTTCCTTCCTTCCTTCCTTCCTTCCTTCCTTTCTTTCTTTCTTTCTTTTTCTTTCTTCCATAGGATCAGTGTGTAGCCTTGGCTGGCCTGGAACTTTCTATGTAGACCAGGTTGATCTTCTAAATGAGATCCACTTGTCTCTGCCTCCTAAGTACTGGGATTAAAAGCATGGGCCACCATGTCCAGTGGATAGGCAATTTTCTCCTTGAGACATGATACATGTGATGATATTAAGGTTCAGAGAGATCAAATGATGAGAGAAATTTTATACTAAAGTTATAAAATAAGAATTGGGAGCTACAGTGTAGCTTGGTTGTTAAACATTTGTCTAGCATGTGAAAGGCCCTGAGTTTCATTATTAGCAACCCACACACATGCACACATACACACCACCACCACCACCAATAACAACATTGCACTCATCCATTCTCAATTCCCTGCCTCCGCTTCAAAATAAACCCATTCGCTATTATAATGTATCGTTTTCATACTGAGACTATGTTTGTCAAATCAAAATCTCAGAAAATGATTATGAGATTGAAACATTCATCTTCTTTGCTCACAGCTTGACTAATCCATGGGGATTCCAGATTTGTCTTTTCTGTTTCTTGGAGATTTGTGGTAGAGGGGTGGGATTGATGTGGCTTGGATATTAAATGTTCTCTTCGAAGCTCATGGACTTAAAGTTTGCTGACAGACAGTGGATACACTAGGAGGTGGGGCTTGGTGGGTGGGCCTTGGATCTTTAAGCCTGTGAGACTCCAGGCCCCTCTGTTTGGATTCTGTGGATGAGGTGAGTGGGTTGCTCTGTTGTGCACTCCTGGTAGGACATACTGCCTTTTATAGGCCCCTACAAATGCTCTGTCAGGTCACAGATAGAACTCTCCAGAACTGTGACCCAAGCCAGCCTCTCACTTTATAAATCACCTCAGGTATTTGCTGTGCTAACATTGACACAGGAAATATTTGACCCTTGACCAACTTATGTCCCCGTGGAATTGAAAGTCGCTCAAAGCTACGTTCATAGTTCTCTCGAATGCATTGACTTTTTCCCAGATTACAAGGAAACTCTGTGAATGTCTTTTCAGAAAATTTAGAATGTAAAGAGTATATTAAGGAAATAAATCCCACCCTCCAAAGTAATCTCTGATGTTTCCTTTGATATGGCTCGAGACTCTCCCATTTGATTGACAGACTCGGCTCAGCGTATACAAAGCCTGTAATGGTTTTGCTGGTTCTGTGTCAGCTGCCGAGTGGTGGCTGCGGACATGGTCCAACTCGTCCTGCTCCACACAGTGTTGGCTATCTTGCTCTTTCACTTAGATTCAAACACATAGTAATACATCTCCCCACACCCTAACATTTTTCTGATAGTCTTGTGTATTTATTTAATGAATATACTATAGACTATTTAAATGTTTTCCTATTATTGGTCATAGGTTCGGTACGTACGTTTTTGTTGTTTTCTATGGCATTCATTTATTTATTTTGGATTCTTCATATAGAATCTCACTATCTATCCCTGGCTGGCTTGTAACTTGTTCTCGTAGCCTTGGCTGGTGTCAAACTCACGGCACCCTTCCTGCCTCAACCTTCTGAGTGCTGGGGTTGCAGGTGTTTGCCATCATACCTGGATTTGTATCTAAGGTTTCTGTTTTAGGATTAATTATAATAAAAACATTTTATTATAATAAAACATCTTGACTTGAGTCTCTATTTCTCTAATATCTTTACAAGCCAGTCTTAGGACATGAGTTATTGGCTCAATAATTGGCCCAATATTAGAACAATAGTTTGTACCATATACTTTATTGCCAGGAAGCTGAATTGTCATATCTTCTTTAGTCTGTTTTGAGTTTTTTCTAAGAGATTTATTTGTTTGTTTGCTTATGTTTGCCTCAAACCAACTCTACCTTAATTATTTTTTTGTGCTGCTAGCTTTTCTCTACCAGTATTTCTCTTACTAATGTTGAATGCTTAATTTTTCATTTATTCTAACATCGTTATGACAGGCTCACATAACTGTCTTTTAAATTAGATTTGGATCAAATTTAAACACTAATTGTGTTTTAGAAATATGTATTTCTTCAATTATTATAATTATGTTCTTAGATTTTTTAAAATAAGTTCTCTGTTGTTTGTGCACCTAAATTCATGTAGATCTTGCTTAAGTCATTTCTACTGGCTTTTAATATTTTTGAGTTATAAATGAGTGCTCCTCCTTCTGTATCATACAACTCTTCTGGTTGTGGTGGTTTAAATAAAAATGGCCCCCATAGGCTCATAGAGAGAGACACTGTTAAGGGGCGTAGCCTTGTTGAAGTAGGTATAGCTTTGTTGGAGGAAATGTGTCACTGGGGGTGGGCTTTGCGGCCTTAGAAGTTCCAGACAGGCCTAGTGGCTCATTGTCTCTTCCTACTGCCTGTGAATCCAGATGTGGAACTCTTGGCTACCTCTCCAGGACCGTGTCTACCTGCGTGCCACCATGCTTTGCCGTGATCATGAGGTCTCTTCACAGCAATAGAACCCTAACTAAGACACTGGTATGTGGTACAGACATTATTACTGCATATTTTGTATTACAGTGTACTGTGCATTACTGTGTACTGGAACTTTCTTTGTATTAATACAAGCTTTATAATTGGAGCAGCTGGATTTTCTAAGTGGATAATCTGGATAACTGGATAATCCGGTAGTGGTCTAATCTCTTCCACATCATTCTGTCTCTTATTTCTGTTTCGGGGATATTGTTTGTTGCTGAAATGCATAAGAAATGCAACATCTAAAGAGGTAAACAAAGATGACGCTGAGACAAAGGAGGCGGAGTGGGAGTTGATGCCTATCTGGGAAGAGCCAAAGGAAATGCCTGGGGCTGCTGTCCCCACTGTCTCTGCAGTCCTGGTACCCGGCCAGGGGCTTGCCCAAGACAGCTGTGGGCTGAACTGATTTTTTTGTGGTCAGTGATCTGCCACCTTCGTTCACCCAGTTCCCCTTCTCTCGGTCTAAACCACGGGTCTTTGTCTTCCTCCTCTCTTACTGCGGCAAGGGCCACGCCCCCTCCTCACTTACTGGACCAAGGGCCACGCCCACAGCCTCTATGTGGAGGAGAGAAGTTGCGAACAAGCCTCTCACCCTCTCACCCCAATGGGATCTTATTCATCTCTTAGAAATCAGACCATGACTCAGTGGCGAAGTCCCCATAGTGCTCCCGTCTCCATCTTCTCTGTTATCAACCGCAACTCTCACTAACGGCTCTTCTAATAGCTTCCTGAATGCCTCCTCCTCTTCTATTAAGTTCGTAGATTAATGTTTAATGTAAACTGGGATGCACTTCATTACTGAGGAATTTTCAGGACTTTTCTCTAGTAGTTAGAATAAAACTCAAGCCCGGCCTGGCCCGGAGTTGTCTGTCTCTTCCTCTTCTACTTGTTCTTTGTATTTCTTCCACTCTGATGCTTTTCCTTCCTTATAACACAGCAAGAGCGTTTCAACCCCAGGGCCTCTGGATTCCTATTTCCTCTTTCCCTCTCTTTCCGTACGCGCTTGCATCTGGTTCCACCCAGGCTTCCTTTCTGTTATCTGTATCTCGATCCTGGCTGCTCTCAGCATATCCTGTTTCTTTTCTTCATGGAATTTGCAATAATCTATGATGATCTTGGCTATTTGCTCACTTAGTAAGTATCTTTGCCTTTGGGAATGATGACTGAAAATACCGAGTTGCTTCCTTCTGAATCCCTGAATCCCTAGAACCGCAGCACATAAAATCATACAAAAATTCCTAGTTTAGGTTGTTACTCTAGTTTCCTTTCTGTTGCTATGATACAGCATTCTGATTGAAAGCAACTGGGGGGAGGGGGGAAGGATGCATTTCTGCTTACAGTTTATAGCTTATGCTTGAGGGGAGAACTCAAGTAGAAACTTGAAACAGAAATCATGGAGAAAAAAAGCACTTGCTGGTTGGATCTCTTGGGCACATTCTTAGCTGGCTTTCTCATACAGCCTACGACCACAAGCCCATGGAATATGGTGGGCTGGGTCCTCCTAGCAATTAACAATCTGATAGGCCTTTTTGTGCTATCCAGCGGTTGGACAGGCTGGCCTCGAGATCCAGGATGACTTGACTTACAAGCCTGACATTTGATAGGGTTATTAGAAATTTGGGTTCAGCCAAGGCTGCCGTCTCTAGCATGACGGTGTTAAGGGACACCTATTTCTCTCATCTGGTAGCTCAGGAGATTTAAAGAGAAAGTCTAAAGAAACCCAGATAACAGATGCTTGGAGAAATATAGTTTACTTTTAAGATCAAGTGAGTATTACCTAGAAGACTATGGTCATAAAAGAAGGTACTGTAGTTTGTTTGTGTTGAGTCTTGATTCCTTAATGAGACAAGGTCGGAGGCTGGACATTTTCTAGGTGATGAGGTCATGGAGCATCACACTCAAAAGCAAGTTTCTGTCTTTTCTCAAGAGACTGAGTTATATCTCTCTAGGCTAAATTAGATCTCTGTGAACTAGAGCGAGTCTCATGGGACTGGACCAGTCACCACAAGAATGAATTACTGTAACGCAAATTCACCCGTTGCTCTCGATTCTTCTCCATATCAGCTCAGGACCTTCGTTCATATTGCGCAAACAATCCTTTAATCACGGCTGCCTGATATCAAACTACCCTGCCAACAGGACCATGAACTAAAGCTGAGCTTCTCTATAGTTCTAGGCTGTGACATCATCTGAAGTCATGTGACCGGAGGTCAGTCGTCCCGAAAATTTTGGGAACAATACAAGATTTCTGAACACGCAACCACCAAAAACTAATTCGAAATCAAACATGGAATGAGTTCACGGTGTCCCTGCTGGCAGGTGCCCGAGCTGCATCACGTGACTTCACTGCAGTCTGCGTATTCTGCCCTGTGCATGTTGCCACACCACACAGTGTCAGCGAACACTGGCCCTGACATTTCTGCTTAGACTCGACAGATTTTGCACATTCTCATCTTCAGTGTTTTCACAGGACATGAAAATTTCCTGCTTTTCTAGACAGGTAGTAATTTAATTACAGAAGGCAAAGAGTTTCAGACACTCCTTGCCATGTTCCTCAGCATGTAAGTATCAGATTAATATGCTTTTGAGTTGTACGGTGTTAGAGTGATTTTGAAAATTTTCCTGTTTGAGTTACTGACTTGAGGTTCACAAGAAAAAAAAATCACTAAGTGAATTCTGGCTCGATATTAAGACGCGATCTTGAATAATTACTGAATTCTCTCTGAATTTGTGCCTGTCCTTTGTATTTACACAGCATGTACTCAATGTTGATGCCTATAAAATCAAAATAGTAAGCAACTCTGAAAAATATGTTTTGTGTGTCCTGTATTATCAAATATTCAGCCAAGATTTAATTTTTGTGTTAAAACAAACGGGTATAAAAAAATGAGCACACCTGTCTTATTAACATGCAACCTTGCTTTCATCTTTTAAAAAAATATGATGCTAAAGAATGACTTTAAAATAATTTTTTGCTTGTATGCCTGTTTTATATGCCTACATATCCAGAGCCATGTAAAAATTTCTTAGGTGGAAAAGGGTCATAAGAGGAAAAACATGAGGAAGCCTTGAGTTATGGGTTTTGTGCAGTAGAAATATTTTAAGTGGACATATCAGGAAGAATATTTGCCAGAACAACATGAATTCCTGCTCTTAATTTCACTTATTTGATACATATTTAATTGATAAAAGTTAAATGCATTTCAAAGAAACACAATGATTATGTAAAGAGAGAGAGAGAGAGAGCAAGCCAGCCTAGAGTTAAGCAGAACTCTATTATTTATAGCTTAGCCTCAGGGAATTTGTTATAGCAACACAAATGGACTAAGGCAAAGGTCATTAATACCTTGCAAGGTGTGATAAGGTTTAAATTTATATTTGTAAAACACTTAACCCACTTCCTGGCACACATTCAATGAACATCATTGTTGCTGTTACTGCTATCATTATTTGAAGTGTTAAGAAGTAATACTGGCCAGGTAGTGGTGGCACACACCTTTAATCCCAGCACTTGGGAGGCAGATGCAGGTGGATTTCTGAGTTCGAGGCCAGCCTGGTCTACAGAGTGAATTCCAGGACAGCCAGAGCTACACAGAGAAATCCTGTCTCGAAAAACCAATGAATGAGGATTTGAATTTGATCCCAGGATTGCAAAAAGAGCAGACCTTGACTTTTTAAAATTGTTTTTGATTATCAGAATTCAAATAAATGTCTGCTCATACCAGGACATACAGTGACTATTTTTTCAAAGCTCTTACTGTCATCTCCATGCAGCTGAAGACATAGAATGTACCCAACAAATATTTGCTTATTGTTCCACTAACTTTTATCCTTTATATAGAAAAAGAGCAGTTAAGGTTCCATTTCATTCACTTTGAGGTAAATAGCGTCTCGGCTGTGTGGCAAAAATCCTATCTAGAATGACGACTCTATGGAGAATCATTTTGTGTGAATTCTATTTTATTTCGAAGCAGTGTTATTTTCTTTTTGTTTTGCTTTGGTGCTGGAGTTTGAACTCGAGCTTCACATATGCTAAGCACAAGTACTGTGATGACCAATGCCCCCAGCTTGGGCATTGTCATTTATTATTCTTGATGCTCATGCAGAGCGACCAGCTCTCAAACTACAAACAAAACAACATACAATGATGTTGAAGTAACATCAGAGGGAAGTGATCTGCTACTGACGAGCTGTCTGACCTCATCTATAAAAGGTGTGGCTCAAATAATTTATTTAATTTATTTAATTTATTTATTTATTTGGAGTTTTTTTGTTTTGTTTTGTTTTGTTTTGATACAGGGTTTCTCTGTGTAGCCCAGGCTGTCCTGGAACTCACTCTGTACACCAGGCTGGCCTCGAACTCAGAAATCTGCCTGCCTCTGCCTCCCAAGTGCTGAGATTACAGGCATGTGCCACCACTGCCCAGCTAAGAATTATTTTTTATCAAAATTATTCTTATATTTATTTGTGTGTATGTGTGTGTATGTGTGCGTGTGTGTGTGTGTGTATTTATATACGTGTGCAAGTGCATATATGTGGAAGTCAGAGGATAGCTTTCAGAAATTGGTTCTTTTCTTCCAATATAGTGGGTTCTGGGTATCAAACTCAGATCACCACATTTGGTGGCAAGCTCCTCCACCCTTTGAAGCCATCTCACTGGTCTCTGATATAGAACTTATTCTCTATCTTTTCTACTGCTCTGAGAAACAACAGTGATCCCAAAGGCTCCTTCTCAAAATGGTGAAGAAAATACAATCATAAAGTCTTTACTGAATCTGCCCCTGGTAAGTTTCCAAGCAAAGCAAAGAAAGTGGAAAGTATACATTTAATATCTTTTTCACAAAACTATTTAAAACTGTGGAGAAGATACCAAGATGGAGGTGAGGAATTTTGGATTCGTGTGACTTAGGGAAAGAGAGTCTCCACAAGGAGAATAAAAGGGGGGAGGAGTCTGTGGAAGAACAAAACACAAATCAGGAAAACGATATCGCTGTGTGCTCTCAATATCTGGTTCTTAAAAAAACAAAAGCAAGTCTTCCCGGAACCCTGATAGAAAGGTTCCAGTAGGTAGGTCAGCCAAGGGGCAGCAGGGAGCCTTCTACTTAACATTCTGCCTGCCTGGGCTGAAGGCAGGTAGAGCACATTTACTTTCAAGCCCAGTTTTGGCTACAACATACAGAAAAAGGTTTCTGTGCTTTCCAGAAAAGAGCTATTATCCATGAGAGGACAAAATCTACCTAGCTGGTGCTGTTGTGAAGTGAATGTATAGAAATAGCATAGCCAAAAATGGTGAATAAATGCTGTGTTCTTTTGTAGCTAATAAGGCACTTTCAGTGTGTGTGTGTGTGTGTGTGTGTGTGTGTACACGCATGCTCACACTCGCTCATGCACATGCATAGGCCAGAAGACAGCTCTGGTTGCCATTCCTCAGGTGCTATCTATCTTGATTTTCATGACCATGACCTGGTCAGGTAGATTAAATGACAGCCAGGGAGCTGCAGGGACACACCCATCTCTGCATTCTCTGTGCTGGCATTACAAGTGTGCATTACCACACCTGGATACCCCCACCACACACACACATACATGTTCTTCATGCTCCCAAGGCAAGCTCTTTGCCAGCTGAGGAACCTTTCTATCAGGGTCCTAGGTCTTCCTTGCTTTTGTTTTTTTAAGAACCAGATATTGAGAACACATAGTGATATTTTTTCCCTGACTCATTTTTTTGTATGTTTTTAATATAATCCCCTAGCAGTGATACATTTTCAAATGACCATATAGGTGAAGAAAAAAAAAACACATTTCCTTGGCTGAGAGGTGAATTCACTGAGACCAACAGGTTGTTCAAGGATCCTACACCTATATATCTTATTTCATTGAATTTATTTCAACAAATATCCATGGGCTGTGTTATAGGCACTGTTGTGTTTTATAAAAAAGAAAGAAAGAACCAGGATATGTTTGGTAGAAGTGCAGTATGGTGTGCAGGAGGGGATGCCTCTGTGGCCCATGCTGAAGCATCCTTCCTTCTGAGGTGCCAACCACACAATGGGCATAGCATAGAATAGAGTTTATTTAGGGCATGGGGGAGGGTTGGGAAGGGAGTAGAGATAGATAGAGATAGAGATAGATAGATAGATAGATAGATAGATAGATAGATAGATAGAGAGATTTCAATTGTGAACATGACTTCATAAGATCTGTAGAGCATTTCCTTGGTGATTGATGTGGAACGGCCCAGCCTATTGTGGGTGGTGTCATCATTAGGCTGGTGGTATTGGGTTCTATAAGAAAGCATCCTGAGCGAGCGATGCAGAGCAAGCCAGTAAGCAGCACCTTCCATGGCCTCTGCATCAGCTCCTGTCTCCAATTTCCTGTCCTGTTTGAGTTCCTATCCTGGCTTTTTAAAATCATGAACAATGACATGGGAGTTTTCAAATAAACCCTTTCCTCCAAAGTTGGTTTGGTCATGGTGTTTCATTGCAGCAATAATAACCCTAACTAAGGCAACTGGTAATGTTTTAACCAACAGCATGCTTTGTTTTGACTTTTTTGTTTTGGTTTGTTTTTCTTTCTTATTGGTCTTTTATTTGTTTTTATTTTTCTTCTGTGGTTTTATGTGTGCGTGCTTTGTTGTTGTTGTTACTTGATTTTGTAGCTTTTCTTTACAGTGTTCTAGACTTCTCTAGGTTTTTCAGTCCTTCCTCCCCCTTTTCCATGATTCCCTGAGCTTGGCCTAATGTTTGACTGTGGGTCTCTGCATCTGTTTCCATCGCTGTTGGGTGAGCCACTCAGACGAATGTTATGCTAGCCTCCTCTTCTGCAAGTATAGCAGGGTATCATTCACAGTGTTGGGGTGGGCTCTTTCACGGCATGGGATTCAAGTTGAGCCAGTCACTGGTTGGCAAATCCCTTTATTTCTGCTTCCTTTTTTTTTTTTTTTATCCCTGAACTTCTTATAAGCAGGAATAATTGTGTATCAATGGTTTTGTAGCTGGGTGGGTATCCCCATCCCTCCATTGGAAGTCTTTCCTGATTACAGAAAGCAACAGTGTCTTGTTCCACATCTCCTATTGCTATAAGTCTTAGTTAGAGTCACCCTAATAGGTTCCTGGGAGTTTTCACTGTCCTAGATTTCTAGCTTGTCCAAGAGACATGCCCCCCATACACACAGTGATTCTACTTCTTTCTCCCAGTTCCCTCTCCCACTTTCCTCCCCACACTTCATCCCTCCTGTTCCCCCAATCCCCTTCCCCACCCAGGTCCCTCCCCCATCCACTCCAGATATCTATTTTATTTCCCTTTATCAGTGAAACTGAAGCATCCTCCCTTGGGTCCTACTTGTTACTTAGCTTTTTGGGGGATCTGAGGATTGTAGCTAGTTATTCTGTATTTTATGGCTAATATCCACTCATAAGTGAGTACAGACCGTGTTTGTCTTTCTGGTCTGGGTCACCTCACTCAGGATGATCTTTTCTAGTTCTATCCATATCTATTACCCTGCACAAAACTCAAAGACCTCAACATAAAACTGGATACACTAAACCTAACAGAAGAGAAAGTGAGGGAAGCTTTGAATGCACTGGCCCAGGAGACAACTTCCTGAACAGAACACCAACAGCTCAGGCACTAAGATCAACAATTAATAAATGAGACCTTGTGAAACTGAAAAGCTTCTGTAAGGCAAAGAACACTGTCAAAAGGACAAAATGGCAACCTACAGAATGGTCAAAGGTCTTCACCAACCCTACATCTGGCAGAGGGCTGATATCCAAAATATATAAAGAACTCAAGAAATTAGATAGCAAC